TGCTGCGGGTCTGCGTCGCCAGGCGCCGATGAGCAGCTCCCGGTTCGGGTTGCGGTCGCTTGGATGCCGAGGCAGCTCCAGGAGGAGGGGGGGGCGAAGCGCAGGAGGAAGAGGACTATCACAGCTTACCAGGAGGAGGTGAAGGAGGAGGAGGAGGAGGAGGTGGAGGAGCACCAAGAGGGGCGCAAATTTCCGCGCGAGCACCAGAGTAGAGAGCCCGGGCGCGGGCGGCCATCGTTGCAAGCGCAGGCAGCGTCGCCCTCGCGGCAGACCCTACGTTCAGAGGGGCGGGAGCTGCAGACGTGCGCATACGGCAGGCTCGCGCCATGTCGACACGGCGGCGACTCCAGCATGGGCGTGCAGGGTCGAACGCCGGCAGTGGCCCAGAACCGGCCGACTTCGAACGGCTTGCTCCATCGGAGAAGCCGCGATCGTCCAAGGTTGATTGCTCAACGCGGTGTCGGAGGCCAGCGCACAGGCATCGTTGACGACATAAGCTTGCCGTAGGTCCCCCGCAAGGGCGCGAAGATGTCCGCGGTTCGCGCCTCGTGGTCCGGGCATTTGGGGCTCGAGTGGTTTTCTGCTCCAGGGGGCCTCGCGCGAGAGCGCGAAGATGCGGTAGGTTCGTGCCGTGTCGATTGGCGGCGACCCCGCCGCCGGCATTCGACGTTGAAGGCCGCGGCGACCCAGAACCAGTCGATGTTGAGCGAGTTGGCGCCTCCAGGTGGAGCGGTCCCCGCGGTGGCAGAGGCCAACGCCAAAGCCTGCCGCAGCCGCGGTTCTCCCCGCGCGAGGCCTGGAGTTGGGCGGCCCAGGGCACGGATAGACGTCGAGGTGTCTTGGGATTCTGGGTGCGGCCGTGGGCATGCTGGCCAAAAGTGCACTCGGACCATCAGAAGGTCCTCGTCGCCACCGCTGGACTGGAGAACAGCCTTGCCTATGCACAGCTCAGAGGAAGAAAGATAGCGCCCCTGCAGGTACCCTTCCTCGTTTCCACCTGTTTGAGCCTCCTGGGAGGCCCTCGTCGCCACCGTTGGATTCGACTCGAAACTCTACGCAGTCGGAAGGCACCAGGGGAGAGGTCCAGGGAGTAGGGGTATCGGTGCCTTTGCTGGTTTCCCCAACAGCAGGCGCCTCCGTTGATCCAGCGGCAGGAGCCCACCTTCTCTATTGTTTAGGTGAGCTGGGCCGAATCTCCCGCTGGAGATGTCAGCAACCCCAAGACCTCGGCTCCCGAGTTTCTTCTTTGGCTGGGGTCGCGTCTGCCTTGCCCATCTTGCCAGGGCACATTCCGATCCGACCGACCCGGTCCGATTTCGATTCCGACAGGCCGAATCCGATTCGGCGCCGACATCCCGACGGTCCGGTGCGAGCCGACGATTGCGCGGTGTTGTTGTGCATTCTGGCGCGGACGATGCGATTCGACTCCGAGTCCATGCCACTGCGGCCCGATCCGACGCACGTACTCTTATCCGACCCGCTCCCCCGATTGGGTGTTGAGTGTACTTGGTCTTAGATCGGGCCGGACGAAAGGGGGTGGTATCGGCGTCACCCCAACCTACTTATAGTATATGTGCGTCGCCCTCCCAGGGGCGACGCGCGCACCGAGAAATCTTAAAGTATATGCGTCGTGGCGGGCGCTTTGTGGCCACCCCGCTCGGGAAACGATATACTACAAGATGGGTATAGTATATATTCGGGTTGGACGTGCGCCTCCAAGGAGGACATATAGTCTTAGTAAGTCTGTGTGCGCCCCGTGGAAGGGAAAGAAGGGGGGAGTACGAAATCTGCTGCACGCAGCTGCTTTCGGCCCCGCTGCCTGGCTCGCGCTTCGATGCACGGCCGCTTCCAGGAGCCAGAGCCGATGTTCTACCCTGCCCTGTGCTGTCCTACCCCAGGGCTGGACCTCAACGGTGTTTTGGAGATTTCGTGGGCCGTTTTCGTTTTGACGTCGTTTTGTAGTAGAGGTGGGTTGAAGACAAAACGATGGAAAAACAAACATTAGCCTGACGAAGGACCCAACCATATGCAGGTGTGAGTACGGCAATTGTGATTCCCTTTTTCGGTGGTGATCCCTATGAGGCAACGGACCGTGCTAGGGGTGTGCCGAAATGAGGGGCGTGGTACACAACTCGAACGAAAACGATTGATCTGAGTACGTAGGGAGACTGAGCGCGGGTGAATCTGAGCGCGAGTGCGTCTGACTGTGATTGAATCTGGGTGCGAGCGAGTCTACGTGCATGAATGCGAGTATGACAAAGCATGGTGTAATTGTGTATGAATGTCAATAGTTTGAGAAGGACTGCTTGTGAGTACTCGTGACGCTTGGCGTGGCCGCCGCAAGGAGCTTCCCCGGGACTCCCCGACGGCATCGCCCGCGCGCCGCGACGCCAATGCCGGCGCGTCCCCCCGCGAGGATCGCGCCCGCTTCCTCCCCTTTTTTTACTCCCTCTTTGCCCGCGCACTCAAAAGTCCAAGGCTGCGGGCGCAGCGCAGCGCGCGGGTCGTCCGCTGCGCGGAGCTAGCTGGCTGGCTGATAGCGGGCAAGGCTCTTGCCGCTAGGCAGGGCGACGGCGGGCGAGCGAGGCGCGGAACTCCGACGGCCTCCGACGGAGGTGTATTGGGTGGGGGAGACGCGTGCGGACTGGGGCCACGAAGCGCAGCATTGGGTGGGGGAGATGCATGCGGACTGCGCCACGGGGACCTTCGGTGGAGCTCCCTATGGGCCACGAAACGCTGTATTGGGTGGGGGAGACGCACGCGGACTGCGCCACGGGGACATTCGGTGGGCTCCGTATGGGGCCACGAAACGGTGTGCTGGGTGAGGGGGGCGCATGCGGACTGCGCCACGGGGACCTTCGGTGGCGCTCCCTATGGGGCCACGAAGCGTTGTATTGGTTGAGGGAGACGCATGCGGACTGCGCCACGGGGACCTTCGGTGGAGCTCCCTATGGGGCAACGAAACGCTTAACTGGGTGGGAGAGACGCACGCGGACTGCGCCACGGGGACCTTCCCTGGGGCTCCATATGGGGCCACGAAACGCGGTACTGGGTTGGGGACACGCATGCGGACTGCGCCACGGGGACCTTCGGTGGCGTTCCCTATGGGGCCACGAAACGGTGTGCTGGGTGAGGGAAACGCACGCGGACTGCGCCACGGGGAACTTCGGTAAAGTTCCCTATGGGGCAACGAAACGCTGTGCTGGGTGGGGGAGACGCATGCGGACTGCGCCACGGGGTCCTTCCCTCCGGCTCCATATGGGGCCACGAAGCGCTGTACTGGGTGAGGGGGTCGCATGCGGACTGCGCCGCGGGACCCTTCGGCGGAGCCCCTTATGGGGCCACGAAACGCTGTACTGGGTTGGGGAGACGCATGCGGACTGCGCCACGGGACCTTCGGTGGATGTCCCTATGGGGCAACGAAGCGCTTGATGATGTTGATGATGTTGATGATGATGATGTTGACGACGACGATGATGACGATGATCACGATGATGTCGATGACGATGATGATGGTGATGATGATGATGGTGACGACGACGATGATGATGATGATCATGATCATGATGGTGATGATGACGATGCTCATGATGATGAGAAGGGGGGAGGAGGGAGGAGGAGGAGGAGGAGGAGGAGACGCGGGGACCGTCTCTTCAAAATGAGGACCCAACAACACAAATTTGTTGAGCATAAAACGGAAACGAAAAACACCGTTTAGGTTCAGCCCTGTCCTACCCCTTCGTCCCCCCTACTAGACCCCCAGGCTTTCTCCCGGATTGGTTTGTTGACGGTCGTTTGGCCAGAGGAGGGCCCCCCAGGGGCCCGACATGGGCCGAACATTTCACACTTGATGTTGTTCTACAGCACCCTTGTCACGTTCTTGCCGATTCGATGCCGACGGATCCCCCTTGCAAACCGATCCGCCCCCCCGACCCCCCTTGGGCCATCTGCCCGCAGCACGTTTGGGGGGGGATAGGGGGTCGTCACGGAAGGGTCCGCCCACTCCTTTTCTTCTTCTTCTTCTTCTTCCTCCTCTTCATTATCCTCCTCATCTTCCTCCTCATATTTCTCCTCCTTTTCTCCTTCCTTTCGCTTCTTCCTTCTGCTCCTTCCTCGTCTTTCTTCCCCAACTCACGTCCTGCGAGGAGGGGGGAAAGAGGAGGAGGAGGAGAACCAGAGGAAGGAGAAGGAGGAGAGGGGGGGGAGGAGGAGGAGGAGGAGGAGGAGGAGGAGGAGGAGGAGGAGGAGGAGGAGGAGGAGGAGCACGAGGAGCAGGATGAGCGTAAGCTGAACTTGTCAGCGCGAGGAGGCCGGAGAGACAGCGAGAGAAAGTGGAGGAGGAGGACGATGAGGAGTAGGAGACTCCGTAGCTATTCTGGCTCATTTGGCCCACCAGAGGGCGGAACCCCTTTGGCTCGAGCCGGCATGGCATGGCCGTCCGGAGTTGGTGCGCTTGGAGGTTCTCTGCTGTGAGGTTTGAGGATGGTGTTACGGGACGACTCGGCTCACGCGTGACACAGAATTGCGCAGGACCGCAAGGAGGCGCGCTGGCGTGCCAGGGACGCCGCAGACAGGGCGATCGCTCGGTTGACAGCTGATCTGCGCCAGGCGCGCGCTATTGAGGTTCAGCTTCGAAGTGCCTTGAGCGTATTGGCCGGCGACTTCGAGCTGGCAGACCCATGCGTCGGCCCTCGTTCTCCTGTATTTGATTCGCGGTGCTTTTCCTGACCATGCCATGAGGAATGTGGCTCTGCACGCGGAGGCGTCCGTCAACGTTGTGGGCATGAGGCTCCATCAGTTACGGAAGCACCCGCGCGGGCCTTGAAGCGCGCCAGGTGAAGAGTCTGGCTTTGTCGGCGCCTGCAGGCCTCAACCCCGCTGCTCCTGTGGTCGTGCCCTCCCGGGAGGTTGGGCTGGCGCCTGGAGTTCGACAGCCTACTCCAATGGACGTCATAGACGAGCCGCAGCAGCTGTTCCATTCTCCGCCACCTCACGCCGAT